GAAATTCTCCATTCATTTAATTCTTTTGTGTGAATCAATACTTCACAACAAAAGTAAGAGGATAAGAAAGCGAGCAGCTTCATTTATTAGAAAAATACTCAAGTAAGTAATCTGATCCTCTTCAATCTTAACCAAATTTGTACTACCTACAGACAACATGATGATGGCCTTCATTCCATTATTTGCTTATGTAGTTGTCAGAATTATAACAGCTACTTTCATCCTCCTCCTGCTTTCATCACTTCAAGACAACATAACAAATTTAATAGTGCAAGACTCTGATCCGGTATAGCTGGACACATTCAGCCAAACACAGTGCTAAGTTATTAAAGGGAAATTAGCCAAATCAAATTCAGCAACTCAGTCAAGTTTCCCCAGGATCAGAACCTTTTGCCTCTTCAAAGCCGAAGTCATATATGTCCATTTATTGCTATTATCTAGAGAGAAACAAAGGCCTCATGCAGAGTTTTGGAGACAAACACTACAGAAACAAGTGGTAAACCTTACTGGGGAGAATCCCAAAAAAGCACAATATGAATGTAAGAGTCAATATGATTTGCATGTGTTTAACATTGTGTTCTGCAATAATTTGACAGCATTCAAGACAGTAGTTAAGATTTAATTCAGAGACAAAAATGGAAGAAGTTGTAGACATTATAAACCAACGCAACTTCAGCAGCTATATGTACCTAGGCCAAAAACACCATAATAATATATTTGTATAACAAACCCCAGACCACATGAAAACTCTATAGCAAGCAGATGACTAAGCTTCTAAATTGCACCTAAATGTGGACATGCTCAATTTAGCTACTCAAGCAAAACACAGAACTGATTAGTCCTGCAAGCTTTAGCAATAAAGAAAGGTAAAGAATCCTCCATATTATAAGACAAAAGAAGATAAAAAACTGATGCAAGAGCAGATTATAAGCCACCAAGTATAAATTGATCAACTAATCAACATGGCTAAATTCCTGAATTCTGACATACAGACAGACACAACGTGCTCCTAACAGGGAGAGAACAAGACATTAATCAAAGGAAAAATGCAAAGGCATAACTTTCATACTCAAGCAGAGACTACATACTAACCCGTAAGACAGTAGTTTCTGTCTGTCACTTGTTCCTTTCAGAGCTGAAGGATACAGTAACCATCACTGACGTAGCTTTGATATGGTCACTACATTTACACCATTTCAAACTAAACTTGACTATCAGCATTGCTAAATGTAAAAAATGACAAGTATAATATTTTACATATACAGAAAACAATTTCTACTGAAGAAAACCACATAAATACAGAATCACAAAAGAACTGAAGTGTTGCTAAGCAAACTCTGATGGGAGAATTCTGTTGCAGCAGGAGCCCTAAGGAACAGTTCAGAAAGATAAAATACATAAATATATCCATAAAAATCTTGAATATCCCTAATTTTAAACTCTTAACTTCTGCCTCAGTTATTTGCAGAAAACACCTTATCAGTTGAACAGCTTGGATAAAACAATCCCTGTGCCACTCCTAAAAGTTAACTCTAATCCTGATGGTAGGATGTTAAGTTACTTGACAAATGGATCAATAACTACTAACAAGCCAAGAAGTCAGGTATGTTACTGTTGCAATTAGACATGCACATCTTGGACCTAATTTCATGCAAATCTCTTCTTTCATGAGTAGTGGGCTATCCTGGGGATTCCTTCTCTAGCACAAACATAAATGGGGTTTATTCTTTGGAAATGTGAAGCATTTGTTTCCCCACCTCCAGACAGAATATTTCTGAACCAGTAGCACACAGACATTTTCCTCTCTTTTTAGCTCTTCATGAGAACCAACTTAGCAAAAACTTCAATCTACACCAGACAATTAGAAGACTACCATAGAACATAATAACAAGGTAAAATGCAGCACAAACCTAACACTACTTGCTATAATTGTAAAGCTACCATTAAAGATGAGACTGTATAAGGAAAATTTTAGGCTACTCATATGGCCATTTCTGTGATTATTGGTTAATTTGTGAATTCCCCTGAAGACAGAAATCACAGGTACAACTCTACAAAAACTGTATCTTCAAAGCACTAAAAAGAAAATAATACTAGAAAAAGTATATATCATGTTTACTATGAAAAATGAGTAATAAAAATTCTGGTGATGTTTGTTTCTTGTAATATCAGAAGATATTTACTAGTTTATTTAACAGAACTTCTCAACAAGAGATGTTTTCCCCCTAAAGATTTTTATCTTTTTTAGGGTTACATTTGCAGTTTTCCTTTGGTTTCATATTGATGCAAATTTACATAATATTTAACTTGGCTCCTGTAGCCAAAACATTCTGTAACATTCATAGAAATGCAACTCTCTACAAGCTTAGTGGCAAAATAATGTTAGTGATGCTGTTAGATCCCTCATTAATTAAGGCAAAAAGTTTCCAACTTAGAGCAGCATGTAGATTTTTTTAGCTCAAAAGAGTGCAGAAGGAAGATGACATTTTCATATGCTGACTACAAAAATCTGCTGGGAAAATAACACAGGGAAGCTTTTTGATGACCGCACACTGGGCACATAAATGTTTTTCCAAGATAAAAAGTACCTGTCTCTATTTACCTCAAAATGACAAAAACTGATTACAAGTCGAACAAACCAGTTAAAGACTAAACATCAACCCACTGTTACATCAGAGGTACAGAATGTCACGGGCTGTGAAGAAAAGGAGGCCCTTTGATACATAACGTTTCACCTAAGAGGAAGGGAATAAGGTCTTTCCCTCTACTGATCCAAATAGAAAATTCAAGTTAGTTCAATGACTAGAAATCTAGATTTAAAAGAAGTTATTTACACAAGCTTTAAACAACTGCTGCAATGAAGACAACAGTGAACAGTATTAAAAAAAAAAATAGTGAAATACTCATGGCAGACCGACAGAATAAAAAGTGAAGTAGTACATAAAACTGTAGAGTGCATTATTATGGAATCCTCTGTGTTATTTCCACCATACTTTAGTCATTGAATACTCCAATAATACATTATTTTCAAAACAAACTAAAAAGCTGTAACACAGCTATAGAGCCTATTCATCAGTAGAGCATCTCCGAGGTTAAAGATTCAAACCGAATATTGTGAAATAGCTACCATTGTTCATCATGCAGCCATTAATCTAAAATCTGTAAGCTACACCAAAAATTATCAGAACTAAGAACGCAGTGATTACATGCACTTGCATTCTTTTTAAAGCTTAACATACCGAGATCAAGAAACTTACTCTTTCAGCCTGGCTTCTTACAAAAGGCAAGGGAAGCCAACATCTCTATTAAGTACATTCTCAAAAAATAGTAACAAAGTGAATTCAGCCTCCCCAAAACCTAGGCTATAATAAATCACTACAATGCTCTTCAAATGCTTCTCAGGTGGCGAGCTAAGCCTGCATTTGTGAATCATTTTAACCTGAAATCTAAACGTTTTATTCCAGCTCCTAACTCTTAAACTGAACACACTTCACAGATGTAGGATACCAATAGTTGTGTTATCACACAGCTACACCTACCCTTCCTGGCTCGCTATCCTACCAGTTTGGGAGGGGTGTTTTTCAGTTGGCTTGAGAGTTGTGTTTGTTTATTGGTGCCCAGATTGCCAGGTTGCCAGTTTTAGAACATACATAGTTTCATGCACAGAAGGAAGCTTTCAGTAACAGACATCTGAAAACTATTGTTCAAGCAGCTGGGGTTAAAAAGAAGGCTGATAGAGCTCCAGAACATTAAAGATGGTGGAATAGTCTAGTAAAAGGTCTCCCAGCACTATAAAACGAATTTAGAAACATTCAAGGATGTTATAAAATTTCATTCTGGGACAGAACTTAGCTTTTAAAAGGCCTCTACACATGAAAAGCTTGGTTTCCTTAGTAACCTCATTTAGCTTTCTTAGGGAAAAACTGCTTGAGAGTTTGAAGTTTCCCCAAACTCTATGATCCAAAAGGAAATAAAACAGGAAGTCAAGCCATTGAGTCTGTAGTTTCTGCCAATGAGTTTAAACACTTCAAGTTGTCAGTTAATCCACATAAGGCACAACTAACTACACTTCTCCTAGAGTCATCAGTGGAGCCCAGCACAGAGCCGTGCAGAAGCTCTGTTTAACATTCCATTCTGGGCATCTTCTGGACATCTAGCATTGGGTATTCTCTGCAGTAAGCCATGTGCTATGCATTAGACAGCATCAAGAGATGCTGTCCTCTGCACCAAGTCAGTGTCAAAACTGTATCAGAGGTCTGAAGTTAGCTTCAGATGGAACTTGCTACGTAAAAGAGTCAACCAAAAAAGCTCTTAAGAAGTTATAATACAGAAGATACACACCACAGACACTCATAACATTCTCCTGTACTGAGAGTGGAAGCATCTCACAGTATCTCACTATCATAAAAGCTGAAGCAGATTAAAAACTAAATAATGAGCTTCCTTCCCCTTAACACCAGCTTAGTCAATTTAAGACAGAAATTAGAGACTGCTTTAATGTGACCTTCTTATCCATTTGCATTAGTTTATGTCAGTAGTTGATTTTTCCACGGTGATGAAGTCACCGCACTGTGAAAACTAAGCAAGGAGAAACTGCTGCCAGCCACCAGGTGAAAATACCCAGGTTTCCAATTGCATTTTAAATTGGTGTTCTCATTGACGATGTTTATTTCCTGGGAACATTTCATATAGAGTTGTAAGCAAGTTAGAAGCAAGTCAGTGCAAAACCAAATCAACAAGACCCCCATCTGCTAGTATGGTCTGGAAAACACCATGAAGCTCCAAAAATGCTTTTTTTTTTTTTTTTTTTAAAGCGAGAGCAACAGCAGGATACCTGTAACTTCTGAAAAGCTCCTCCCCTTCCCTCCTGAAAACATTAATTCGTGTTTCATTACTTAAGCTGCTGTTACTATGTACTCCACACTGATAGGCAGGTGTTGAGAAATTCAAGCCAGATGTTTCTATAAGTACTTGAGGAGCCCTTAACATTTACTACTTACAGTCTCTCAGCATTCCTGGGAATATCCCTTGGTACAGTTTTGAGTCCTAGTCCATGACAATCCACGTTGGAAGCAATGCACGTACATTTATGAGGGCATCCTCCAACAGGCATCCAACTCATGGAGCTCCAAAAGCCCAAGATCGTTCCAAGGCACAGAAACGCACTTCTTCCACCAGACATGATTTCTTGATCACTCCAGCGGGTATAAAAGTGTGTGTGAGCAGCCAGCCCTTCGAGATGAAATGCCTCTACGAAGAAGAAAAAAAAAAAAAAAAAAAAAAAAAAAGGCTCTTAGTACAGCCCAAAGGAACCCACCACTGCCATCATCGCCGGAGCACCAGCAAACCTTCAAAGGCGCCTGAAAGGGTTACGTTAGGTGGAAGAAGGTGGGGGATTGCCTTTCGGGCTCAGGTTTCCTTCTGTTATCTACGAGCGGTACCAGAAGGCAGATAGTTTAACAGAGCTCGAGCCAGATGCGTCTTCAGATGAAAGAGAAACCGGCAGCGAAGATAAATACACACAAAACATCCATCAGAAGCGGCGGCAATCTCCCAAGCAGCCTCCTCCGCTCCGCATCGCCCCACCTGGGCCGGGCAGGTGACCCGCGGAGGCGCCGGGCGGCAACTCAAAGCTCCGCGAGCTCCTCAGGCGCTGCCCGCCGCCCTTCGGCTGCTGCCGCCGTGGGCCGGCACCCGCGCGCTGACGGCCGGCGGAGCCGGGACCGGGAGGCGGCGAGGGGCGGACGAGTGGCGGCGGCGCTCCCACCCGCGGCGCTGCCGCGCCCGCCCGCCGCTCTCCATTCACTGGGCATGGCAGCCGGGCGAGCGCCCGCGGCACGGTGCCACCCCTCCCCCCTCCCAAAATATCAACCGCCGCGCCCATTGGCTGTGCGGCGTCTGACGTCACCCAAACGCCGAACTTTTGGAGCGGAGGGAGGGCGAAAGTTTGGGGCCGCTCCGCGCGGCGGTGAGGGACTCGGGGACCCCCGGCCCCATCCGCGCCCCGGGACGCGGCGCCCGGCGCCCCCCGCCCGGCTCAGATTTCGGAGAGTAACGCGCGGGCTGCGGCACGAACGGCCCGGCTCTGCCGAAGCGGTCTCAAGTTTCCCTCCGGGGGGAACCGGCCGCCTTTTGTTCGGGCCGTGCGCACTCCCCGAGTACCCTCTGGCGGTGGGAACCGGCCCGGCTCCGCTCACCCCGAGCTGCCCCTCCCGGGAGCGCCCGAGCGCCGCGGGCTACGAATTCACCGAGAGGGCGGACGGCGGGGAAACGTGCTGTAAATCGGAGGAAGCGGAATGCATCCACTTGACGGTTGTGTGCCGGTCTGACGGCGGTTGGAGCTCCGAACGTTTTAGCCGAAGTTTATCAAAAGAACGAGCCAAACACGGGGCACCTTGGAAATCTTTAAATATTTAGAAGCGACTTGGAAAATGGAGAGGCCTGAGGGAGATGCAAGTAGAGCATCTTCCTAAGTTTAAGCCAAGTCAAAAGATAATTAAGATGAAGAACAAAGCTGGTATATACACGACATGAAAAACTGTTTCAGAATACTCAGTCCCTTACTTGGCACACTGAAGACCATGCAGAAGCACACTGATGTGCAACGTGTTGCTCACTGAGCTGATGCACACAAAAAGGGTGCTCTGTCTACATCACAAAGTCTTGGTCCAGGAGTATGGACTCAAGATTCTGGTTCTCTGTGTAGGGAAAAGTTTTCCTTCCACCTGTCCAACAAGGAGTCTGATGAGCACTGCCCTGAAACTGCCACAGACACCTCCAACAAAGACTGGGCAATGCTATGTTACGTTGGGTTTGCATTTCCCAGTTTGTGCTCAAAATGTTTTTTTCTATAAACATAAAATTAAGTGGAAAAGCTTCCAGGAAAAAAAAAAAAAAAAAAAAAAAGTAATAACAACCCCAAACACTAAGATATTCACCATGAGATATGGATTTCAACACGTGCACCTAAACTATTTGTTGGTTTCTGGCTACATTTGCCTCACTGGGATTTCTGACATTTATAACCACGCGAGGTGCTCCTGTCACCTCGATAGCCAATTTTACCCTTAACTGAAATGCCACCTCCACAGCCAGCAGGGCAGCTACTTGTCTACTGCCCTCTCTAAGAGGGAAACATTTGACACTATAGAGCATTTCACAGTAAAGACCAATTTGCCGACAGCACGTGTAAGATCACGGATTAACTTTCACCTCTCCTTTTCTGGTCTTTGACAAAGCAAAACAAGAAATAAAGTGTTTTTCTCATTTTTAGTGAATTATTTGGGTTTTTTTGTCCCCCTACAGAACCCATTTTGATCAAGGCTTACACCTGAACTGCTTGCATGACTAGAATCAAAACTCATTTAAGCAGTCCTTGTATAGCAGTGTCCAACAGGAGAAGGCTCAGTGACAAGTCACACAAGCATTGAAAATGTACAGAGACTCAGCTGTCACCCCTTTAAGTGGCTGCTTTACGCTACTTCAGAAAAGATTAGAAAATGCTGTTCTCCCACCTCTCTCAAATCTGGAAGAGGAAAATGTTTGAGAAGGTGTACATAACTTCATCTGGATTCCCAAATAAACCTCGGCTTTCCTGGAGTAGAGGCAACGAAGATGACTTTAACCTCCCTCATTAACAGACCAATCGAGGAGCAAAGCCTAGCAAACCCCAGTCCAGCCTCACCATACAGCACCACGAGGCAGCAACAATAACTGTAGGACCTTGAACCACACCCCTCCCCTTTACCCTTTTGAGAGGGCAAAAGAACAGCCAGCTCCAGGCATGTCACTGACACTCATCGCTATCTATTCTGAGGCAAGCGCCCTCCATCAAGCATTAGTTCAAGAGATCAGCTCTTGAACACAGAACAGCTGGTTCGGCCAGATGACAGAAATTACGCTGCTTAGCAAGACAAAGTACTCTGAAAGCTCTGGTGTCTCCTCCACACAGACTGAAGGTATACATCCTTAGTTCGTTCAAGCAGCGAAAATACTTTCGTTGGAACCTAACTTGCCTTGGCAGCCAGGCAACATCATTCCAAAGAAAGATTTCCTGCTCTGTTTAACTTGCAAATCTCTTTCTAGCTGTAGGCTTATAGAGTCATACATCCCTCGTCTCAGGATGGACACATGGGAGTTGTTGGATACTAATTATTAATACAACCATAGACAATGGGAGCACAACTGTCCCATGCAATACTTATTTTAAGTTTCTCTAATATTCAGCTCTGCAGGACTTCCAATTCTAAGAAATGCTGAAAAACTCCCTGGAATGTCTTCTCACTATCATCCACAGCAATCAGCATATTCCATGCTTCGCTGTTTCTGTCTCACAACAAAATCACCCTGCATAGAAAGGTGCACCAGACAAAATGGCAGAAAGCAAGCTGAACTGAAAGCCAAGCCTAATCTTCAAATATATTTCATTGTTATAAAAACTGAGGCATGTTTACATTCCAGTTAAAACAGCACTTAGAGGAGACAGTCACATATTATCAAGTCACACCACAGAGAAGCAGAGTGTTGGCTCTGCTGTTTTCCTTTCACATATCCACTATGCCTTCCTGATCTTGGCAACTGCTACAAGCTGGCAAACCAGTCACTTAATCTCTTAGTATATGGCTGGCACAGGGTATGGCATGCATTACACAAAAAGGCACAAAACAATACAGATAATGGAATATCTACTGAATATGGATTTACAAAATGTCTCCTATTTGACCCTGTTTTGTATTTACACTAAGATATTTAAGTTATTTTTATGAAGCTATCTAAAGATGGACAGTTTTCATACATACTTTTTCCCAAGCATTTGAAATGATCAACATTTTCATACATACAAAACGCCTCACAAAGGTTATCAAAGGTGTGCTGCCCACCCAGCAGGAATTTAAATCTTGCCTGCAGCTTCTGCAATATGAAATATAGTCCTTTCTCTTAGGAAATGAGTAGTTTGACATATCTAGAACATCTTTACACCAGTTAGGAAATTGACTATTCAACACATGAAAATAAACAGGAAAAAAACTAAGCAAGAAAAAAAGAGTGATTTTCTTCTAAGATGGAAGAACATTCACTGAACAGCTGTTCAGATTACACTCACATTCAAGTGGTGCTGTCACCTCAGCTGCTTCCCTTCAACCTGCCATCTGTAACTGGGACTCCATGACTACCCCTCCACTCCTGGCAAAAGTACCTTTAATACCATTTATGGGCTAGAGGAAGAGCAGTGAGTTCTGGGAACACTGGAAACGCATAGTGAACAAAACCAGATGATTGTGGCAGCTACTTGGAGAGAGGAAAGAAAGAAAAATCACTTCTCTAGGCAATTTTGACATTTCAATTCTTCACTAAATACACAAGCACTGAAAGCGTTTTAGAGTTAATTTCAAGACATGCTACATAATGTCACCATATTTCTTGTCAGGCATGTCCTGGATAGATATGCAGGTGCACACTGTATAGTAAGTGTGACATGTCTGAGAAACATGGCATTCACTGCATTTGCTTTGTGCTTGTGGCTCTCACATATGTAGTAAATCTGATGTCTCCCAAATGCTGTTTATTCCATGCACAATAGTGCATCTAGAAGCCTGGCAGAACTGTAGCAGGGCCCATTCTGCTGGCTGAAGTCCTGAAATCTGAAAGTTTATGGGCACAAAAATAAGACTGGTTAAAGAAATCCAAGCATACAGTCCTCTGGTTCAGGTAACAAAAGTCCATCATACTACAGGACTGCTTGCACAACAAACAAAGGTCTCTACCACTACCAGCAGTAAAGTAGAAGAGGGGAGAGGAATTTAGTAATTCTGATCACTTCAAAAGAATGGAGGCCTGAATCTTATCATTTAACTGACAAGGCTCCCTGAACAGCTTGAAGAGGAGCTCTTCAACACATCCACCACTGAGTAGAATGCTTTGCCAAGGGATCGAGCTGATGCGTGCATTTTAAAGATGCTAAGTTCAAATTCCACCTAATTTAAAGTCACTGATGCAATCATTTGGGAAGCAATGACATATACCAAGTTATATAAAGTATCTCAGTACATTGCCTAAAAAGGACATAAAGCTAACACTTGACAACCCTGTCAATGGTAAGGAATTTGAACTTGTTTTTTACTAGAAACTAGAAATAGAACATAGGTTTAACATGACTGATGGCAATACTGTTTTTTTGTTTGTTTGTTTGTTTTCTAGGAAAATAACATCAAAGTACTCAGTTTTGCTCTCCATAGCTAGTGCACAAACTATGAGACACCTATTTTAAAGGCAAACATAGGACTTCAGAGCTGCTTCCCTAAACAAACAGAGCCTAAATTGTGTCACGATGCCCTCTTGTGGCTGTTGAGCTCCCGCAGGGTCCTGCAGCCGCGTGAATGTCTCCTGCACAAATCTTAAGCTGAAGGCTTCATCATCTACAGCACACAGCTCATTTCTAGAGGTTAAATACTTTTTGAACCTGCAACTTTTAAAAACACGTATGCATAAGATGTCAAAGCTAGGGCTAAAAACAATTGCAAGGTGATACTGTCCAGGTTGCAGCTGTTCACTCTATCAGTTGATGCCCAATTCAGTGCCCATTTCACAGGAAAAAATAAGCACTAAGTTCTAGACTTTAACGTTTAGACAGAGAGCTAAAAAGCAATGTTTTGTTTGTTGAGAACAGGCTGGGATAAGCAGAGTATATTTCTACCAGGGCCTTAGGTTTTAAATATCACGTTTGAAGATCACGCTTGAAAAGGTACTACCTGCCTTTAATACAGTCCAGCTACAAAACAAAAGCAATCCTGAGGTCTGACACATAGTCTACTGCTTGGTATGAAATAGCAGATAGATTAAGTAGTCTAGCAACTGAAGTTAGCCTTACATTCCCCTCAAACAGAATAAAACCCTCAAGATTACCAATCTGCACACCTTTACTCACAAATTCATTCCTATTCTGCTAGATGGGAATGAGGAAGATCAGTCCATGCAAGAAAGCTTATGTTGCTATTTCACCTGGAATACTATAATTCACCGCACAGCGTGCAAAAAGAGTAGCAATTTGGAGCAGCAAAGAATTCAAACAATTTCTACCACTAACATTGGGGAATCTCATTGATAATAACAATGCTGAAGACAATGAATGAAAGTTAATAAATCATACATTTTCAATCGTGATAAGATTCAGAGATGGTATTTCAATTGTTCTTGAAATTTAGAATTAGCTTGTTCTCTCAATTCTGATAGCAGATGACTTGGTTTTATACTATTTCCTCATCTACCTCTGCTCTGCTAGTTAAGTCAAACTGGAAAGCAGCAGAAAGATAACTGGCTAACATCAAGTATGGCTCGTATCTCTACACCATTTTAAATGTGTTCAAGAATTTTAAATTATAGCTTATGAAGAAAACAAAAGTAGTTCCACTAAGAGTTCTGAAAATTAAATCAGGCTTTGCTCTATTAGATTTTTCTCATACAACAGAAACAATCTAGAAATCCCCCACGTTATATTCTCACCGCTATTGTGGTGTATGTTCCACCAACTTTTGATTTACTTTTGTGTTATGCAGTTTACATCCATATACAGCTCTCTCTATTTGTTATTTTTATTATTATTATTTGCTGTTTAAATAAATACTAGAGAAAAGGAAGGAAAAATGCAAAATAGACTATTGTTATATACTTCCAGTGCTTAAAAGATACCTAAGGAGGGGCACTTTGTTCTTAAGTTCTGTAATCAACATGAACGCAGCTTGCACATAGCAGCAATCTTCAATATTTTTCATTCAGTTTATGAGGCACGGCATGCTGGTGTAACAGTACTGAGCTAGCTGGAAAATCTGAATCATTTAAATAAGTTGCAGAATATTTGAAATGATAAGGACAGAACAGCATAGCATCATTCCAGCCTTCAGAGCATTACTTTCAATGTGTCAGAAACAGTGCATCCAGCAGGAGCAGAGAAGTGATCATCTCTCTGTACTCAGCTACCCAGCCCTGGGGAGGCCGCACCTAACATGCTGTGTTCAGGTTTGGGCTGCTCACTACAAGAAGGACATGGAGGCCCTGAGAGAGGCAACGAAGCTGGTGAGGGATCTGAAGTCTTATGAGCAGCATCTGAGGGAGCTGGGACTGTTTGGTCTGGAGAGAATCAGGGGAAAACTTTGTATCTCTTTACAACTCTCTGGAAGGAGGTTGTGGCAAGGTGGGCGTCAGCCTCTTCTCCAAGGTGATAGGACTAGAGGGAACGTCCTCAAGTTGCAACAGGGGTGGTTCAGGCTAGACATTAGGAAAAATTTCTTCTCCGAAAGAGCAGCCAGGCACTGGAATGGGCTACCCAGGGAGATGGTTGAGTCATAATGTTTAGAAGTTGTACTGAGGGACATGGTTTAGGGGGAAATACTGGCAATAGGTGGACAGCTGGACTGGATGAACTCAGAGGCCTCTTCAATCTTGGTGATTCTGTGATAATGCAAGGCACAGCAGGAATGAGCACTGGTTACCAGGACAGACTGAAGCGTCAAAACGTATAACCCGTGGCCTTCAGTGTTTTATAAAACAATTTTAAAATATTTTCTTAGTTATCTTTTGTTTTGCTGCAGCCAGAATCTGTCACTAAGCAATTTTAAGAGATTCTGTATTAAAAGAAGCTTAGTTTTCCTTCATTCTAGGGATAATTATTTGGGTACATAGCTACACTTTACATTCAAGTATTAACACAGTCTAGAAAAACTGTTTTCATACAGAAGGCTTTGCAAGTTTCTGGTATAGGAATACTTTCTCTCTTTACAGTTAAGCAGACAGGAGAACAAAAGCCTCTACATATATGCAACAACACACAATGGTTTCAGTGGTGGAACAGGATTAAAAATGTTACATTTTAGGACACAAGTCATTGGACAAATAAGCACAAAGAGCATTATTCACAACAATACCATCTTGCTACATTAAAAAAAGAACAACAAAACAATTTCTTACATTTCAAGACTACTTGCACAGAGATCTGAAAAAAATCTCCTGTTAGAAAAATAGATTCCTGTTAAGAAAATTCAAATCCATTCCAACACCCCCAGGAAGAATTTGGAAAGGGAGAAAGTGCCTGGGAAAATAAAGAAATCCAAACACAGGCTTCTAGCTCAGTCTTTGGAGTGTATGAAATGCAAACGTTTTCAGAGCAATAGGCTCACGATTGAATACTTCTTTTGCACACAATCTAACAACTCCACATAACAACTCCAAGGAGACCTCACTGCAGCCTTCCAGTACTTGAGGGGAGCTTATAAACAGGAGGGAGACTAGCTTTTTACATGGCCAAAAGAGAATGGCTTTAAACTCAAAGAGGGCATATTGACATTAATGTTAGGTGGAAACCATTTACTTAGAGAGCAGTGAGGCACTGGAACAGGCTGCACAAAATATATGAATGCCACATCACTGGAAGTGTTCGTTACCAGGTTGGATGAGGCCCTGATTTCTTGTGTGAATAAGCTAATCTGAAAGACTTTGCAGCAGAGAGAAACCATTCAAAGCTGTTTTTAATAATCTTTAGATTTGGTATTTTGTTTGCACATTGTTAGCACTTGCATGTAGAATAAGCAATGTTGTTTCCACAATGCAAAATATTTCATTATCTCAAGTGTAGTTCTCATAGCTCAATGAATCAAAACAGAACTTGTTTTGAAACATAAGTCATTTCTTAGACTTTTTTCTTCAAAGACGCAGTACAAGAAATCAAATATCATTTAGTAAGTGCTGGCATCAGAGGTCATGTCTTCATCTACACAAAGTAGTTTACTCACCTCTGATGACACAAGTTTTCACTAACATCTCCAAAGCTTAAAAACATTAAATGTAAAGCTTAGGCAGCTAAATCCCCATCACGTCAACAACTAACGTTACAGAATTCTTTTGACTACAGTGAGGAAATAACTGGTGCTTAAAGTAAGAACAAGAAAACCTGAGTTTTGTTTCTCTGTTACTTATGGGCTCTGACCTTGGCAACTCAACCTTCCAGTCTCCACTTATTAGTTCATAAAGATTTACAATACACACAAGGTTATACAGCAATGTGAGCTTTACAAAGAATGTTTCAAGTATTACTTCCAGTCTAAGATGAAATCTGAATTACTTATCAAATACTAGAAGCTTTTTGAAGTGTTTTATGAATAGTATTTTTCATAATATAACTTCCTGGCATCTCTGACATTAGAATCATAGAATGGATTAGGTTGGAAGGGACCTTAAAGATCATCTAGTTCCAAGCCCTCTGCCATGGGCAGGACTGACTTTTTTTTTTTCTTTTGGATGCCTTTAGTGGGTACAGTATTTAAAAGAAAAGAAAATAATTTTGAATCTTCCGTAGTTTGCATACTGGACACATACTTGTATAGTCATCCAGATAAGTATTTATAACAGCACTCTCAGCTGGCGACACCAAGCTGTGTGGTGCGGTCGACACGGTTGAAGGAAGGGATGCCATTCCCTTCCATTCAGACCTAGAAAGGTGGGCCTGGGTGAACCTGATGAGGTTCAACACGGCAAAGTGCAGAGTTTTGCACTTGGGCCGGAGGAATCCCAGGCATCCATACAGACTGGAAGGAGCGGGCCTTGAGAGCAGCCCTGTGGAGGAGGACCTGGGGGTCTCGAGAGATGAAAAACTTAACATGAGCCAGCAGCGTGCACTTCTGGCTCGGAAGGCAAATGGGATCCTGGGCTCCATCAAAAGAGGGGTGGCCAGCAGGGACAGGGAGGTGATTGTTCCCCTCTACTCTGCTCTTGTGAGGCCCCATCTGCAGCACGGCATCCAAGTGTGGAGCCCCCAGTACAAGAAAGACAGGGAGCTGTTGGAGAGGGTCCAGAGGAGGGCCACAAAGATGATCAGGGGACTGGAGCACCTCCCCTATGAGGACAGGCTGAAAGAGCTGGGCTTGCTCAGCCTGGAGAAAAGAAGGCTGCGGGGTGACCTCATTGCAGCCTTTCAGTACCTAAA